TGCTTGCTCGACTGCCAGGAGATAGTTCCGATAGGTTCTAGTCGGTAGATGTAGCCCGTCCTAGACCGTCGATTTTCGCTGTCTCCCGCGTGGTCGGCGTCGACGTATCCGAGTAGTTGTACGGACGGTGTTGTTGCCTTGCTGTAGGTGAGCCCGATCGTCGGCGTGGAGACGAAGTAGAGTAGCGCTCGATTGAGTTCTTCGAGATCTTCCTGTTGCGGCTGCTTCAGATGTGTCGCCAGCTGACTCGCACTATAGGATAGGTCGGGTCGGCAGGTTACTGCTGCGAATAGTAGGCAACCGAGCTTCTGTTGATACTCCTGGATTTGTTTCGCGGGGAGTTTTGTGGAGGCGCTACTGTTGTTCCCGTAGCGGTAGGGAGTTGGGACCGCAGTCGGTGCTAGACCGAATTTCTTCGCGACGGTGCTTGAGTACTTTCCAGCGTGTAGGTAGAACGCCGTGTCGTCTTCGACGATGTTCAGTCCTAGGTACTGGGTAACTTCGTCGGACACCGTGAGAGTTAAATCTTCTTTCAGCTCCCCTTCGAACCAGGTGGCGATGTCGATAGTGGAGCCGATGTAGAGCAGGTCGTCGACGTAGACGATGAGCAGAACATAATCTCTTCCCTTCTGCAGTCGGTACATCCCTTGGTCATGCGGTAATTGTAGGAAGCCGATCTTTGCGAGACGGCCGTGGAGATGCTGCTGCCAGAGCCGCGGGGCTTGCTTGATCCCGTATAGGGATTTTGTCAGTCGGCATATTTTCGTGGGATCGTTGATGAATCCGTGGGGTTGTTCGACGAAGATCTCAGCGTCCACAGGTGCGTATAGGAATGCATTCGCGACATCGATTTGGCGTAGTGGCAGTTTTTTCGTGGCCGCGACGGCGAGTAGGATGCGTAATGAGGTGTGACGGGAGACTGGAGCGAAGGTTTCTGTGTAGTCGGCTCCGTATCGTTGGTCGAAGCCTCGTACGACCCATCGAGCTTTGAATCGTTCGACGGAACCGTCTGAGTTGGTCTTGATGCGGTACACCCATTTCCCCGAGAGAACGTTTTTTCCGTTGATGCTCGTTGCAGTTACCAGTTTCCACGTTTCTCGGTCTTGCAGAGCTTTTAACTCCTTTTCCATTGCTTCCTTCCATCTTGCCTTATGTTCCCCCCCCAGAGCCTGCGACAACGTTGAAGGCTCTCGCGGAGAAGGCGGCGGCGGATTCTGGACGGAGACCCAGAGGCCTAGAATCTGGAGTCCCGTGGGCGTGTGTCGAGGGGAATTTTCATTCCCGGAATAAGCTGCTTCGTCACCGTCTTCGGGGTCAGGTAAGAAATTGGGGCCGATGCGTTCCGAAATATTCGTGTCGACGGGGTGAGGTGTAGCGTAACCTTGGTCGGCGAAGTGGTAAAAGGTGTCGAGGTTGTTGCTATCGAGGGGATTATCTTCATCGAGTGGAACAGGTACGGAACAGAATGGGAGTGGTCCGGCAGCTTCCGAGGCTCCAGGTACGTCTTCTTCTGCTGCGTCAGCCTCGGCAGTGTGGTCAGCGAAGGAGCGAAGGCCCGCGAAGCCGTCGGTGGGGTCTTGTGTGTTGGCAAGGTTGTCCAGGTAATGCTGCAGCGTCAGTCGTTCGTAGAAGATAACATCGCGTGATGCCACCGTGTTTTTGTCTTGTATGTCGAGAATTTTCCACGCGTGAAAATGTTTTGCGATGCCGAGGTGTAGTCCCCATCGAGCTCTTTGTGAGAAGCGTCCTGCTCGGGCTGTGTGGGGTCTGTACTGTACCATGCAGCCGAAAACGCGGAGTAATTTTGTGCTGCCCCTTTTTCTTGTCCACAACAGGTGCGGCGATGCGTTGTTGGGAAGTGATGACGAGGACAGCAGGTTGTGCAGGTGAACAGCATGTGTCATCGCGTCTGGCCACAGTGCGTTGGGCAGCCTCATCCCCAGAAGCAGTTTTCGCATCGTCGTCTGCAAGGTCCGGTTCATGCGTTCTGCTACCCCCTGCTGCTGGTGAGCATAGGGCAGAGACACCAGGCGTCGGATTCCCCTTTCCGCGAGATAGGTCCTGAAGCGTTGTGACTGGTATTCCAGTGCACCGTCTGACTGGAAACTCTTGAGTTTGGTTCCTGACTCTCGTTCGGCGATTGGAAGCCATGTGGTGAAGGCCTCGAAGGCTTGATCGCGCGTTTTGAGATTGAAGTGCCAGACGTATCTGGTTGCTGCGTCGATGAACGTGATGACGTAGTTGAAGTCGGCTTCGGTGTCGTCTCGAGGCATGTTTAGAATATCGCTGTAGACCTTTTCCATCGGAGCGTAAGTGGGTGCGCTTGGATTGTGATGGGCTGGGAAAGGTTGATGAGGAAGATCTGCTTCGGGGCATGTGAAGCACCGTGCGCGTGGTCGTCGGAGTTCCTGGCCGTTCGTCGTCAGAAGGGCGTTGCGTTCTAACACCTCTGCTTGGATTGTTTGAAGTATCGTGCTGTTTGCTGGATGTCCGAGACGTTGGTGCCAGATGTCGTCGGGAGCGCGGTGGCCGGGCGAGCGGTGGTAGATGTCGGCGTTGGAGAAGAACGCGACGACTGAGGCGGGACTTCGACAAGCTTCTCGTGTGGCGGGCATAAGTTGGTCTGCTTCCGTTGGCGGTCCTCGTGTTGATGGTGGTGGTACTCGGCTGGGTCCTGCTGCCGATACTGCAGGTGATGGTTTTGTTGGGACACTTGCGGGTACTTGTCTTTCTTGTCTGATAACTGCTAATGCTCGTGTTCTCTCTGCTGCAGGTATGGTGTTGGAGTGCCAGAAGCCGTCACTGTCGAAGTCGGGGTCAAGATCCGGCGGGTGAGTCCAGGCGGCGAACGATACGATGCCATCGCTGTCGGCAGTTCCGCGGTCGGGGACGAAGTCCAACACGAAGACGCCGGACTTCAGGAGGGCACGACCGATGAAGAGGCCGCCCTTCCCGTGGTAAAGCCGGAACTCGTTGGAGTAAGAGTCGCACTCCAGGTGAATCCCCTTGGCCATTAGTTGGCTTACGCTTAGTAGATTGTATCCCAGATTGTCGACAATGAGCACCTTGTTGAGTTGAAGTATGACATTCGTCTCCATGGATTGTAACTGAACCACGCCCTGTCTGTTTGTTTTCAGGTTTTCGTTGTTGGCGACGGTGATGACGACGTCGCGGTTGAGGCGTTTCTCCTGTTGCACGAAGCGTCCCGAGGAGCACATGTGTTGACCGCAGCAGCTGTCCAAGAACCAGGTGTTTCGCCCAGTGGGTTCGGCGTTGGCGACCGCAGCGTATGTTGGGTTGACCTGAAGTCCTTGTGAGCGCGGCGGCGGGAATTCCTCTTCGTCTGGTGCGTAAGTGGGTGGTGATCCGGGTGCGCAGTTGTCGATGTGTACCATGCAGTTGATGATATTTGGTGTCCCTTGTGCAGATGTTGAAGAGCGCCTTGGGGAACTTGCTTGAGTGGAAGCAACTTGTGGGTCTGCTGTACGGTAAACGCGAGGGCGGTTGCAGTTGACTTTGGAGTGTCCGGAAGTCTGGCAGTTGTGGCAGAACGGCGGCACGATGGTGAGTCCTCGGTTGTCGCGTTGATCTTGCTTGCTGCGTCGGTTGTAGTTTATGTCATTTCTTCTTTGAGTGTAGAAGACTAACTGCTGTTGCTTCCTTGGTTGTCTTTCCTCGAACAGATCCATCTCCTGTTGTTCAGCGTGAAGCTCGGCGCAGAGGTGCATCTCCGAGATCCTTCCGTGGGCGCGAAGAAGCGATCGTGTGGTTCTCCATTCTGGTCCGAGCCCGGCGAGGACAAGTGTGACGAAGCTTTCTTCAGTGATCGTTCCTCCGCACCGAAGCAGGCGGTCGCGCAGGGTCTGGCAGCGACTCATATACTGCATCGCCTTTTCCCCGGTTTTCATCTGTATTGTTGTCAGCTGTTGCATGAGTCTGCTTTGTGTCACGCTGTCGTTTGCTTGATAGAGGCATTTGAGATGATGCCATGCAAGTTCCGCGGAGTTTCCATAACTCCGATACGTTCTGATGCTCTGCTGCTCTTGTGGTGACAAGTTTCTCAGGAGTACCGTATACGCCAGCAGCGACTGATACGTGAAGATTTCTTGTTCCTTCCCAGTGCCGTTGCTTGGGAATGGCAGGGACCCGTTGAAGTATCCCAGAAGATGCGCGGCCTCCATCAGCAGCTCGAACTCGAAGCTCCAGGTAAAGAAGTCGTGTCCGTTGAATGGGGATGATGTCTGCAGTTTAATCACGTGTGAAAACTGTGCCTGGAGACTTAAAATCTCGTTTGGTGTTTGTTGTGATGCAGCTGCTGTTGGTTGGGCACGGGGCGGCATGAACTCGAACGTCCCCGGTGAAGAGTGATAAGGCGCAAAGGTAGGCGCTTGATTGTGTCGCCCGAAGGATGAGTTGTCGAGGCTCATCGGCGCTAATCCCATATTCCCTCCATTGCTCTGTGTTGAGTGCGCAGGTGTCCTTGTCTGCTGCTGCTGATCGAAGTGTGACATGAAGCTGAAGAATCTCTCCATGAGATTCGGGTCCACACTTGAAGATGGAGACGGGGTCACCATCTCTGGTACTCTTCCCGTTGTTTCTTGAGCAGTCCCGGTCTCTGTCTGCAGTCCTGAGGTGTGCAGACCAGAGTTGCCGTGTTGAGTTTCTTGGGCGCTGGGTGAGCCCGTAGAGACTTTCTTGCCCTTGTTGTCCATGTCTTGTAATCAATGGAGTTGTTGAATCAAGTTGAGTTGCTGGTTGTTGATGGAGTGTAGTTGCTGGGAGTTTTGGTCTCTGACCAGCTCTCATACCATGTTGGGCTGAGAAAAGCCCTTAGGATCTTTTGCAGAGACTAAGTCCCAGCTGTAAAGACTTGAGACTTGGAGTAGTGCAGCGGAAGTTGAGACGGTTGAACCCTTGTACTAGTATGTGAGAACAAGTGATTGATTAAAGAAACAAGCATACAGCAATATATAGAAGATAAGAAAGCAGTTGTAGAATACAGTTACAGGAGCGGTTTATCGAGTCGCACAGCGACTCGATTGCCGCTTCGGTTACCATCTGTGATGTTGTAACGGTCAGTCGCAACCTCCAGTTGCGACCTTTCGAGTCCTTTCGCTTTCTTTGTCCGCCCCCTCGTGTAACCTCCGTTGACTCGCGTGCTCCCCTGTAATCTTCCTCGAGTACAGTGTTACACTTCAGAAACGCTTAAGTCCTTGAGATATTTCCAACAGAATGCATACCCATGTGAAGGTATAGCATGAGTTGTGTGTTTGTTTATTCACTTTTGACTGGATATCATGTGTCAGCAAAATATTACTCTTAAGGGAATGAGGTTGGGAAACTTGCTACTTGCTGTTGAAATTTCTATATGACTAGGGTGGGAAACTTGCTGCTGATAGGAATTTGTGACAGATCGTGCAGACTTGAGCAGAACTGTGTCATCTCAGCTTACCATCAGCAGCAACGCACCAACCTGCAAGGGCACTTCTCTGCTGCCCGTATTTTTTAGGCGCCTCAAAAATAGACTCCACAACGCACCAACATGCAAGGGCACTTCTCTGCTGCCCGTACCAGACGCAACAGGGCCAAGGCATCACAGGGACAGCTGATGCTGCTGCTGCTGGGCCGTGCAGCCAAACCAGCCATAGCACCAGCACGCACAGCCCACCAGCCAAAAGCAGCAAGTCAAGGCAGCCAGCACGCAGCAGACACAAGCCATCCACCACCAGCCACGCCACACCTGCCTCTGCACCCTCAAGCCGCCCCGCAGAAAACGCTGGGATTGCCATCGCTCCTCCATTGACCCAATGGGTGTACTCTGCACTCTGTATCCTCTGGAGAGTGTCCAGCTTGTCCCTCGCACTCGCCGCAGCCTCAACCAGCCTGTCCCATGTGGCTGCTGGCTCGGCACCCCTGCCACTCCTGCCAGACCTGCAAATCCCCAGCCTTCCCCAATCTGCTGACTTGATATTCCCGAGGACAGCCGCATTTGCCAGCTAGCGGGAATGGAATAGTAGCCTGACAGTGGTGAGGTAGCCTGCTGCGACTGGTGATAAGTGCCGCTTTCATCGACCACTCTGATCTCCCGCTTGTAGCCGCTTTCCACGTTGCTCTGCCTCATGGCGCTCAAGGCTGTTGCGGTCGGAGGTGTCACTAAGACCATTGCACACGAGCATCACGCTGCTCCGCTGCCGCTGCACCAGAGACTCTCTGGTGATTCCCTTAGAGAGAACCGGCTGCCTGCGACGCACATGCGCTGCCTTGCACATGCCTCGGTCTGGAGGCCGAATGCAGCATTGCGTGAATTAGGCGTGTACGATGTCCGAAAATGATCGATCATCCAGAACGCCATCATCGTCGTCTTCCGACTACCGTGCATGGCTGGTAGTCGAAAATTATCGACCATGCAGAACGCCATCGTCGCTGCGGTCTCCCTGCACTCTCGCTGTGGCGTCGCTGTGGCCTCGCTGCTGAGCTCGCGTGCAGAATCCATCTCGCAACAGCGCACGTTTGATTCCTCCGAACCGAAGGCTTCGGCTATTTCTAGACCGGGTTTCTCGCATCCATCTGGCACGAGAAGCCAACTACAGAATAAGCTTGGGAATGACATCATTGAGCAGAGATTAGCTGAGGGGTGGGGTGGGGTGGGGTGGGGTGGGGAGGCCAATGACCCAAGTCCAATACTGTACCACAAGTTCGGCTACTGTACCACGATTGGAGAAACTCCGATATCCGTTTCCAAATTTGTCTGAGTCACCTGTTACGAAGTGGTGTAAATAACCCTGTCTATCTTTGCCAATGCTCCTAAATGCATTCATGTCAATGGCAGAGGACAGGCAGGGGGACCTCCAACCAGAGCATTGGTATTTATTTCTGCTAATTAACTGTACACGCAAACACACTCACACACAAGCACAAACAATCCCTACCCTATCGAAAACCTAGGACTTATGACAGCTCACGCCCACCACCTGCCAGCAACCGCAGAAAGATTCCCGGTAAAAGAATATTAGCCTAGCTGACAGCTGGGGTCATGTCTATAACGCTGTAAAAGATCACCGCAGGAAGACAGCGGCGAGCCAGAGGTTGATAATGGAGAATTCACTAATGAGGACGGCAGGGGAGCCGATGCCGAGCAGCGGGAAGATGTCAACTCTCAGCCATGCTTGAATCAGACTGCCCACCATCGCTCCCAGGACAAGACCTCCTGTTGACAGCCCTGCTGCCTTGCCTGCCAATGATGAGAATGGAAAGAAAACGGGGAAAGGAAACGGGGAAAGGCAACAGGGAAAGGAATGAGGGAAGATGTCGACTCTCAGCCACACTTGAATCAGACTGCCCACCACTGCCCCCAGGACGAGACCTCCTGTTGACAACCCTGCTGCCTTGCCTGCCAAGGTGGAAATGAAGAGGAAATGGAAGGAGAGCAGCCACTCAGGGAGGGGTGGAATAAAGAAGAGCAACCTTGCCTGCACCAAACTGCCCTCCACTGAATGTTAGATCAACCCTCCTGATAGCCCTGCTGCTGTGCCGGGAATCATGTTGCGGTGATAAAGAAAATAGATTGTTTGGCAAGAGTAGAAATAAAGAGACATACACAGCAGCAGGGCTGGTAAATGGAGGGGGAAGGGGCAGAGGAAGAGAGAGGGCCCACTCACGCCCACTCACACAATCACCCATCATTTCAACCATCTTCCCCCCCACGCTAACCCTTTCCCCAAGAGAGGTAGGGTGGAACCTGTGTGACGAACAGGTAGAAGATTGTACTCGCATTTACTCACACACTCACCATCATCACATCCACAAATCATCACCCCAATGATTAATTAATTCCCACGCCATCCTCACAGCGAATGCATAACACACGTAGAGGTTCCGTATTAACCCAAGCTACGATTTTTGCAAGCCCAGCACATCCCCGAGACAACGATCCCAACTCCCCGGAACTCGGGGACAATCCCGAGGTAGGTCCGGGGCAATCACCAAACCTACATTAATTCAGCCTGGCTAGTCACCCATCCGTCACTCTCACTTCCCCCACCAACCACACGCAAATACCCCCCACACTTTCACACATTCATTCTCACTCACCCATTCCCACGCCATCCTTCCGCAGCGAGTACAGCAGTACCAAACACTCACCACCCTCAGACATTCACGATTCAGCGCATTCACCCCCACTCACCCATTCCCACTCACCCATCCCCACTCACCCATCCCCACGCCGTCCTTCCGCAGCGAGTACAGCGCGAACCCAAACGCCAGCGCCAGCTGCAGGCCCGGCACATCCCCGCCCGTCGCCGCTGGCCCGTACAACGACCCCCCGAGATCCCCCGACGATAATCCCGAGGTGTACGTCCAAATCAGCAGCGACGCAAACACTGCGGATTGCACCGCAAGGGCTTGGCTGCCGCTGCTGGTGCTAGTGTTAGGCGAGGTGACCGTTACTGGGGAGGATTTGAGGGCCTTTTGCAGCCAGGAGGGCGGCGCGGGCGGGCGGGGTTTCTGCACGTCTGCGAATCGCACGCTGTTGTCGACCACCTCGCCGGCGCGACGGCGGGAGAGGGATTGCATGAGGAGGATGTCGTAGGCCGCTTCGACCTGTGGGCGGTTTGGGGGGGGAGGGGGGGAGGGGGAGTGGGAGGGGGAGAGGGGGTTGGAGGGAAGTCGAGTCAAGACAGTAGTCACGACAAGGAACGCTGCTGTCCACCACCTCGCCGGAGCGACGGCGGGAGAGGGATTGCATGATGAGCATGTCGTAGGCTGCTTCGCCCTGCGGAATTGAAGGAGGGGGAGGGCGGGAGGAGGAGGGTGGGTTCGAGGGCAACAAGGGAAAAAGAGAAAGCAAAGAAGTAACTTGATAAGTCGGTACGAGAAAGTTTTTTTGTGAGGGCTCGTTTTACTGTTTATTGACGACGAGAACCTCGGAACACCTAAAAATGGCTGTAATAGATTAGAATAACGAAAAAATAATATTCCGGGCCGCAAAAGCGATGAGAATCAAAGCTCACACTACGTTTCTAACGGAAATTGGGTGAGCTAGTACTTCCAGTTCAACTTCCAATTTCAAGCATCTGACAGCTGAAGATCTGGCAACATACATAGCCGTTGCTCCCATAATTTACTATCTCTCCGTTTGTTAAGCTTAAAAGCCGACGTTTCTCTCCCAAGAAACGTAAGAGGGCCATCTTCCAGGAAAACAAAACGACGTTTTATTTCACAAACAAGCCCTTAAAATCCAATGTCCAAAACAACACGCGGGATGCTCACCCGCAGAAGAAGTTCCTGATCGGCGGTGCCTGGATCCGTAATTCGCTTCTTCGCTCGCAGGATGTCGTCGAACGTCGCTCCCTCCCTCACCCCCAGCAGGTCCAGCGCGTTCTGGTAGGTCATCTCCGACGGCGGTAGGTCGTCCTGCTGCTTCGCCTGCACTCGCACGCATCGCCGTGCGATGCATCGCGAAGAGGGAGAGGGCCTAGCGAAGTTGGCGAGCTGAGTAGGCCTAGAGAGGCCTACGCTGTGAATAGATAGCGCTCCGAACCGTAGAACCTGTGCCATGGTTCCTTCTGCTGCCGTGGAGCAGGCGTAAATGCGTTGAACAAGGGACCCTCTCTGCCAAATAAATCTCTCTCAGCAATTATGGCGTATTCAAGGGCCACCAAGACTTCAGGCGATTATTTTCGCAGTTATACCTGTCACTGCAAGAAGAAATGGATGCCGCGATGCTTCTAACATCCAAGAGTGAAGGCTGGAAAGCAGCCAGTGCAGTGCAACCGGCACACTGTACTAGGACGGATTTAGGACGGAAATGATAGGGATGAGTGGGAGGAGGGAAACGAGGGATGAACGGGGCGAGATGACAGGAAAGGGGGCAAGGGGAGGAAGAGGTTAAAGACACTGTTTTTTCCAGATCAGGACACCCTGCACTACCCGTCAGCTGGAATGCATCCTAAAAAGTACACCTGGGTTAAATGTAGGCCAAAGTGGAGAGCGCATGCCTCTTCCAATGGCAGGGCGAGATGGATAGGGTGAAAACCATACAGTGTGCATTAGGAGAAGAAAACAATTGAATAACGAGGAATAACCACCCTCTATTACAGGTCACATAAGGCTCTCATGACGTGGCGACATCAGCTCAAACCTCAGGGCCAAAAATCCCTTTCGTCGAGTAGTGTGATTCGTTGGACTACGGAAGATGGTGTGCCTGGCACGGCGATGTCGATTGGTGAAAGAAAGCGGGAATGCGAAGGCTGACAAGGACGACGAATGGTTTCGAGACACATACACCCCAATGACATGGGAGCGGGGATGGATTTGTGGCAGCCATGCACAGATCATCTGTCCAAACCAGGCATACCGTTTCGAGAAGCAGCCCACTAACGAGGTCAAAGCTGCAGTGTATAAACGTAATACACTATCTGTGTTAAACAGCAAATACGAACTACCTTGAACCGAGGAACAGCGCTGCACCTGCCCCCACTGTTCCCTTAGCTTTTCCACTGTAGATAAGCTCTTATTACTCTCCTCCACTCATGCTTCCATTGTCCTCCCGCCGTGATTCCCCACCAGCCTGCCTTGCGTAGTAGCCTGTGCTTTTCCGCAATCCGCGCGCTATGGCGGCATCGCGGCTTTGCGGTCAACCCCCGACCTGTGTCCGCGGCCTGCGGACGCGTGACGCTGGCAGCCTGTCGTCCAAGCAGATCAAACAGGTAGGAGTATGAACACCAACTAGTAGACGCCAAAACTCTAATACTATGGAAGTGCGAAGGGGTTGTCTGTCCTAAGCGTGCCGAGCCCCGGAAAAAAAGGCGGGAAATAGGCGAACTTTGACGTCTAGCTAAGCGAAAACATTTGGGGGCTTCAAACACGCGAGGAAATTCAGAGGCAACGAACGAAACAGATACCAGGGATACAAAAATTGTACGAGATCAGCCCTTTATTACGCTTGCCAGAAAAAAAGAAATAACAGGGAGTTGGCAAAACATGAGCACTCAACAAAGCACGAACTCCACAGAATTGGAATGAAACAACGTGATACTCAACAGAACTGGAATGATCTTTTTTACGGGCATGCGGGTACCGCATGCGAAGCAGCACTAGTTAGGAAGTAAACGCCGGCGAATACACCGATCTGATCAATAGCACGTACCGATCCGATCCGCTTCCTCCCCTCCCGGTTCTCGTTTTCTCCACTGCACCCTGTCCTCCCCTTTCCCATACCCCTCAGTTCTCATTGTTTCTCTCTCCACGTTTCCCTCTCGCCACGCGTCTCTGTGCTCCCGCTTCCCGTCGCCGCGGCCCGTTATCCCTCTAGCAGCAGCTTTTCGTTCCCCGTGGTGCGCGGCCTGCTCGGCGACCTCTTAATTATGCTAACGTCAGGTTAGGCTGCTAACATCACCATGCGCAAAATAGGTAGCAGCAGCCTAACTTAATGCCAGGTAGAACCCAAAGCATTCACTCCTTAAAATATATATATATATATATATATATATATATATATATATATATATATATATATAATAATAATAATCACATAGCCACCCCTCCTCTACCATACCTTCCT